AAAAGTAATGTAAAAACTCAAGAATTAGGTAGAGGAGAAGCAAGGGGAAGAAGTATGATGGAAAGTATGAGTTTAACGAACATAAGTTGTCATCTTCAAATGACCATTACTGCTCAAAGACTCATATGTTTACTAAGATCTTTAACTCTTTAGACTCACAACAAAATATTGTCTAAGAATATGATACCCTATTACTATCATAGCTTGAATAAATATAAAGCAAATTTTGACAAAATTTTCCTTGAACGCACACTATTCTTCAACCACGCATCTTTTTACTACATAATTTAGCTCATTTACATCTTCAGGACAAGCTAAATTATTTTTCTTACAGATATTATAGTAATATTGTTCTCAAAAATGCGTATCAAAGATATGTGTCAAATTTGTCAAAATTGGCCTACAGATTAAGGGATAGCATAAAATTTTTGATATCCTAAATAGGATTAGATTGTGAAATACAGACTGTGAAAACTGATGACACTGCACTGATAAATAATTTGCGCACTATAACTCAGTAATACTAATTTCCTTAATCATGCTGGGCGCTCTTATAGTTAATGACCCCTGAAATACAATGTCACTTGTTGCGCACATGATCTACGCATCGTCAAAATCGAGTTTAGATATGAAAGATAAGAACGTGACGACCTGACGTAATCATAGCAATATTTGAGGTATTCGGACGAAAGATGGTAGAAAAGTGACAGTAGATGTGCCATATTGTTACCATTTATGTGTTGCGTTATCATGTCTAAATCAGCTAGTTATTTTGAATAATAATCTGCTATCTATCTGATGTGCACGCATCTTACCGTGCGTAAATAAACAGCAGACTAAATTCTAATGTTCCAACGCAATTGACATAAATGTTTGTGGCGTCTTCCACCCCTGAAAATAATGTGTGCCGCACCTTTGGTTTGTTTTCAGCACAACCCCATTTTTAAGCTATTAAGAATTCAAAACCGATCGACGTGCTGAAGCGAACACCACAGGCCAAACCCTGAATAATAAATACGGTTATTCAATCAACATTCTTTAGTTGCAGCTTGCTTTCCTGCCCAACAATTAAGTAAAAATAAAGCAATTCCATTAACGTCCGGTCTCTAAAACGTTTCAATTCCTAATCACAAAAAGTTGACAAAATAATGTCAAGTAACCAAGGCATACTCAAAGACAGGGCCTCAATACTTGGAGCGTTCTCCCAGGGAAAAGCCAGTATTCCTACTGGATTGGGGGACATAAAAAAATTCATGCCAGAACCAACCCAACAAAATCTGGAGACTACGGAATCGGAGGAATCAGACAGTGACTCGAGTGCGGACAGTTCGGAAGAAAGTGTATCAACCGACTCTTCCATAACCAGAGTAGCACATTACGAGTCGAACCGACCGAAAATTGCAAATGATATATCTCAGGAATCCGAAGAAGTAGTAAAGAGACCACGCGCAAAAGTGAACATGGACAACATTATCGGTTTCTCTTCTCCCCAACCATTAACCCACTCTGGACTTCAGATGCTGAGTGGAGGCGCACCCGGCAATCGCTTGAAAACTCAATCTGAAGTTGTCCGACGTAATGACTCGGTTGGACATGCAAAAGGACGGCCGTTGGGTGATTCAAAAACCCTGTTGGATGATGGATTGTCTTCTTACAAGTCGCAGACTTTTGTGCGAGATGTCAACACCCCTCGACACCAAGGCTCTAGCCGGTCAGATATCTCATGGAACAGCGATTCGGTGAAGAATTTTAACCGCTCAATCGATGAACACTCACCACGTAGACCCTTCGTGAGGTCGTCATCGATAATCAGCGATGCTTTGCCAAATTATTCATCCATCGCCCGCGGTCGACAGTCTCAGTCAGAAGTCGTCTATAGTCGTCCTACAGCAGCTCTGACAGAGATTTCGGGAGTGAGTGATCCCGGACCGCGAGGGCGGCCGGCTCGTCGGCCAACAGTTAAAGTCAGTGCGCGGTTAAACGACGATAACGGAAATATTATTGCGGATAATCTCGATAATAATCCACACGCCAGATTGCGACCACGCGTTTCAGTTAGCGCGATGGTGGATTTGAATAGTAATAAATCTAAGAGAAAGGTTGTTCAAGACATTGGGAGCGCGAGTGATGAAGAAAGTGGAAGTACGGAAGAGAGTGGCAGTAGTGAAGAAGAGTCGGACGGAAATAACGAAGAAGATAATTTGGAATCTATGATTAATATAAAAGTTCAGCAGGAGGTAAAGAAATTTTTCTTGAAAGAAAAGGGGAGTGGGAATGAGGAGGTGGCGTGCAATCCTTTGGGATAACAATTATGATTATAATGGTTTATAGTTGAACTTTAAAACTGCGTTATGAATAAGTACTATTGCTTTATTAAAGATATCTTGTCCATTCTTTAAGTTTGTCGAAGGGATTAATCCGATTATTCGAAACTCACTTACAATCACTTATCCTCTTTTTAACTTTAATTTGCCTGTGATTCTTCAGGTGCAAGAATTAAAAGTTTCGAACGAGTCTCTTCTCGCAAGTAATGCTGAACTTGAAGCAAAACTCAAAGAACAAGCAGACAAAATTGCAGAATTGTCCTCTCTGAGTTCTGTCGTTGCCGAACAGCAAGAAAAATTGGAAGCGATCAAAGAGATGGAAGAGATTGTAAAGAGCTTAAAAACGAAAATTACGACTGCTGAAGAAGAAATTGCTAATCTCAAGAAACAGGCAGCCGAAAAGACGTGAGTATTGGCGAGGCTGTGTGGTTTTGCGGTTGGGTAATGGGTGCGAAACAGTTCTTCTTATCTAATCAGTTATCTTACATTTTCATAGTGATGAAAATCAGAAGGTACGAACTTTATATTGATGCTTACCGGTACCGAGTTTTATGTCTTGTTTCAAGACTTACGCTGACGCATT